AGATTCTCCTAGGAATATCCCCACCAGCTGTAAAACCAAGAAGATAGTTCTCAACTAACAGCAGCTTTAGTGACAATGATGAAATATGAATATTTTTATAAATGGTTTACAAAAAACAAAACTTTCATCATTGTGTGAACATATATGTTCAATAGTTAACTGCATCTTTAACTGATAATATTTCTTTTTTAATAGTGGAATATTATTCCTAGATGATCTTTTAAAAGTTATGAGCTTTTAAATATATTTCAAAATTTCAAGATGATTTTTTAACTAAAATATTTAGTTTGTATTGGTTACACTTCTATTAAAGTTATTTTATAAAAAGATGTAAAAAATTTAGCTTCCAAACAAATTTGTCACATGGTAAGCCCAATTATCTATTTTTGAATTTAATATTGAATATATTAAAGCTACTTATAACTCTCTGCCCGATTTTTTAACCTGAAAATTCTTGTAGAGATCCTCCGAGGTGGATCACTCCTCATTGACAAAGAATGTCTTCCTCTAATTTGAACATTAGAGGTGTCTTTTCCTCTTGTAGGAGGAGTGGAAGTCATATTAAAAATACAACTTATGCTCACGATTCAATTGACCTGCGTGACTATCTTTAGAAAAGCTCTTGCTCCTACAAAAAAAAAGGAGAGTCATAATCTACTAAAGCTACTCCTTTCCTTACAAAATTCATAGTCGTTGAGCCAATTTATGTTTCTAAACTGGTTAAACAAAATATTATTGAAATCAATCTTGATGATTAGCACATAAATAATCAAAAGATTTATTTAAAAGATATTTGAAAAATAACCATTTTCCTTATAAGGCTTTCACTAGAGAGACTTATGAGAAAATTTTAATTCAGTTAAAATGCATCAACTTTGAGTATACTAAAGATGATGTAACATGTTTGGTTTTGTACAGTAAACGTGATGTACAAAAGATTATTCATCATAAAGATTGAAGACTAACTCCATTCCAAGAAAGATTCATTTACTTAATAGCAAATTTAAAATATAAAGACACAGTTAACTATTGGACCCATGTCCAAACAATGATGAAAGTTTTATTTCTTGAAAACAATTAACAAAAACATTCATGGTTCGTCATTATCACTAAATATTTTGTTAGTGGATAACTATTTCGTTTGTTCTACTTAAAATGCATCAACTTTGAGTATACTAAAGATGATGTAACATGTTCGGTTTTGTACAGTAAACGTGATGTACAAAAGATTATTCATCATAAAGATTGAGAACTAACTCCATTCCAAGAAAAACTCGTTTACTTAATAGCAAATTTATAATATAAAGACGCAGTTAACTATTGGACCCATGTCCAAACAATGATGAAAGTTTTATTTCTTGAAAACAATTAACAAAAACATTCAGGGTTCGTCATTGTCACTAAATATTTTGTTAGTGGAGAACTATTTGCTTTGTTCTACCGCTGGTGAGGATTTTTTGAGGCGAATCTTGAGATTCTACCTGAATCATCAAAAAAAATTACACTAAATGGATTGAAATTTCTCCTAAAATTAGAAGTATTAGTCCACAAAATTTATTACAATAGTAATATTTAGTTTATTTCTTCACGGATTGCCAGATTCCTTGGGTTTGGGCTTGAACTATAATCCTAGAAAAATAAAATTCTAATCATCGTTGTCTTTAGAGATAAACAAGACTTAACATTGATGAAACTTCATCAAATTAAGATAATAATTCAGACATATAAAGCTTCAAAACTCTCTTAAACAGCTCTAGCGAATGATAGATTATAAATTAAGGAAATTTATGAAGATATTTGTTAAAAAATACCCTCATAAAAATGAGAAATGGATTCAGACTCACATCATGAAGATCTACTAGAAGCAATTTCAAGAATTATTCAAAGATCCATATTTTTCTTGAAAGTGTTGAATAAGGAATGTCACTTGATGGAGAATCAGTGACAGACAATGATGATCAAGATAACCACAAGAGATAAGTCAACTAGCTAAAAGGAACAGTGCAGTTCTGGCAGCACTAACTTTTTTAAAGTTACTTTATAAAAGTTATTCTCATTATTAAGATTCTTTCTTAGTTAGAAATAAATCTTATTTTTATTAAGTAAAGTTGCATTATTATATTCTTTCTTACACCGAAAGAAATCTATTAGATTATATTATATTTTGTTTGAAGACTGGAGTCCGAGTCCTCTATTATATATATGACTCATTCATTATGTTTTAGTGCACTCAATTTTAGTTTCATTCTTTTGTGTGCTCTTTCAACTTCTTTATCAAGTCTATAAAAATCTTCAGCCGTGTTAGCTTGTATTTTTAATAAATTTCTAGTTTTAATATTTGCTTTTATTTACCCTGGGTATATTTGGTATCAGTGTCATGTCATGCTAAAAAGCCCGAGAGATCTCTAATTAATATGTTGTTACAATAATATTATGCTCAAATTCTGAAGTAATAATGTTATGACAATAGTTATGTTAGAGCTTCAGGGCTCTTATAAATCCTTGATAGGTAGTAACATTATTATGGAAGAATGCTTGTGGTAGTCATGTTATACTGTATGAATCTTTTTCTCTTCTTTTCAAAATTCCTAAGTTTTTCGTCCCATTTAGGTGTAAGCCCCACTTATGTGTTTGAAGGGCAGTAAATCCTATATTAAGTTGACTAAACTCTGTAATCTATAGGATAAGCCCCATTTGAATAATTCTTCTATTGATGTTGTATATAGTCTAGAAACCTGTGAACGCGAAGCTATTGACTCAAAGGAGGATGAAATAAAATTGAATAATTCTCTCGGTATAACAACAATAAGTACTGTTCAATCAGAATTGTTTAAATCTTTTTGATATTATAACATTAGTTCATTTTGCTGATGAATATAATTATGTAACCCATCGTTAGAGCCATCTATTACTCTTTATATGGCCTTGCCTTCAAACTCTAATATGAATTCTTTTATTCTGATTAGAGCCTCCTCCGTGAGACAAGCAATTATTTAAGAATGCTGAAATGATATAATACCCTCTAAATGAAGAAGGCTTAAATAGATGGTCTATTTATAAAATAGATAAATCCCTTATCTATAGAATATAACCCTTTGATTTCAAAAAGAAAAAAAAACCTATATTAAAACTGTAGCACAATCAATCAAAATAAATCAGGTCGATAAAATAATCTATCTATTAACAAAAAGTCTTGCATAGATATATGAGAGATTTCAAATATATCCATATTGGTCTCAATCAAATTACATTCAAACCACTCACATTAAAATGTATAAATGCATCACTACTTGCATTCTTGAGAGATGGTAGATGCCTAATATGGGCTCAGTCTTTTATTGGTATTATTAAAATTTGTTTGTATCATGGGCTAGTCTATTTCAACACCTTTTCTAATTTAAGTTTATCTTTGACGGATGTCAACAACTTTGAAACCGTCAAGCTGCAACTACAGCTTCATGGTTATGATTTTCTTCCAAAATCATAAACCATAACATTGGTGTTTAGAATTCTCTTTTGAATTCTAAATAATTTAAACCTTAATGTTAACAAGATGGTTCAACTAATTAAAAGAACTACTTGATTGAAATCAACCTCTTGGCCTCTCATATTGCCACTAATAGAATTATTAGATGGAATGAGGTAACTTCCCTAGTCATGGAATATTCAATCAGCCTTGACTCCAAAGCCAATTATAAATTAAATCATCGATTAAATAATTCAAACATCTAATAAAGATGTTAAAGTAATATTTAATTATAGGAGATCAATAAATATTCCTAGAATGTCGATTCCAACTGAAAATTATGTTGGTTCGTCTTCACCCCATGAAGAAGAACCATTCAAAGATCTTCAGATGAATAATCAAAATTTTCATCCAGTGAGAGGAAATTGTTCTCCCACTCCATCTCCTTCTAAAATAAGTTTTAATTTTTAAATGAATTGCACTCAAGGGAGTAATACGAGAGCTATTCTCATTAGAGAATATCATCAACCTTGCTATAAAAAAATTATTAGAGTCTAAACGTAAGTTCCTAAAAAAGAATAACCTTAGAAAAGGAAAAAACTATTCTCATTATTGTATATATGTGTGTTGTGTGTGTGTGTGAATGTGTGTGGGGGGGTGGGTGTGGGTGTGGGTGGGTGAGTTTGCTAGCGTGGGTGAGTGTGCGTACGCGTGCGCGCCGCCTAATGTAACTCTTTGGTTGACAAAATTTGTAAGACCCTTGGGGTCACGAGTTTGATCCCACCTATGTGTGGGATGAAATTATTATGCACATGAAGTTGATCAAGAGGATTGTTTAATAGTCTCTGACCAATTTTCAGATATATATGTGTGTGTGTGTATATACATATATATGTGTATATATATATATACACATATATATGTATATACACACACACACATATATATCTGAAAATTGGTCAGAGACTATTAAACAATCCTCTTGATCAACTTCATGTGCATAATAATTTCATCCCACACATAGGTGGGATCAAACTCGTGACCCCAAGGGTCTTACAAATTTTGTCAACCAAAGAATTACATTAGGCGGCGCGCACGCGTACGCACACTCACCCACGCTAGCAAACTCACCCACCCACACCCACACCCACCCCCCCCCACACATCCCCCCCCACACC